TTTCAAAGTCGTTAGCCGATTTAGTTTTTTTTTTGGTTTTCAATCCCTTAGGGGAAGCGAGGAACGTGGTTGTCTTACGCGGCGCGAATGTTCAAACTGCGAGCTGAAAAAGAGGGTCTCAATGGGGTTAACCGATAGGCGTAAAACGGTCAAAAATTTAGCCGATAGACGTAAAAAGTGAAAAATTTTAATCGTTAGCCGTAAATAGGGTAAAAAAGAGTTAACCGTAAAAGAAAGTGTTCCCTAGATTTGCTACTGTTAAGGAAGGTACTAAACTCACTTATGGTTGCGTTTTTATATTATTATTTCCCGGCTAGTGTGAATCTAGCTGTACGCACGTTAGGCGAAGCGCCTTAACCAAGACCTAGGCTCTTTCCGGCGCTCTCTAGGGGAACTTATTTTTTCCATAGCGAAAGTGTGGCTTCTTTCCGGAGGTCGTGCCCTCGAGACACTAGTGAAACAACACGCAGAGATGTCACTGTTTGTAAAACACGTTGCCGATAAACAACATTTTCCTGTTTTTCTCTGACTCTACGGTAGAAATTGCCATGCCTAGTCCCTGTGCGGCGTCTTCCCACGCAGTCTCGGTCAAGGCATTTCGGTGGCGAACTCGCTCGGACCACGTGACCCGAAACGCATTAGCCGCGCAGAATAATGCGGCCTACGGACAAGGCAACGGCAGACAGTCGTTCCGTACAGTCCATCGCTATCATTAAAAACACTGGACACGGGAATTTTGTTATTGGCCGTTTTCACACTAGAGCTAGAAATGGATCATCCGTCTGAGACTAGCCTGTATACAATCGCGTCCTCCCCACAGACACCTCTTCCCCGATTTTTTTCTGAGGGGAGGTGGTGGCTATACACAGGCTATCTGGAACGGATAATCCCGTCTTCAGAAGTCAGGCGGATTGTTCATTCAAACTTAAAACTATTCCATTTTCAAATTAAGATGTATTACCTATCTGACGCCAATCATCAAACGGATAACCCGTCTCACACGAATAATCCTTCTCTAGTGTGAAAACGGCCATTTCTGTTATAATGAATGTCGCGCCCCGACCTTGAGTTGGCTGTTCCCGTGTCTGCTTTTGCTTTTTCACAACGATTATTTTTAAATTGACTGTTGACATTTCTAAGTGTAAAATAATATTAGAAGTGGAATACTTTATAAAAAGTATAATCTATCAAATGTTAAAATTTTTCAAAAGAATAGCTTATTTCATCCCGAGATGATCTGAAGAGATTTATTTAAAAAAATACAGGTTAATTAATATTTAACTTTTTGAAACAAAAGAAGTTAATTTTTAACTTTTTCGTTAACCGTAACTGAAAAAAATTAACCGATAGCCGTAAAAGAGCCAAAATTTTAGCCGATAACCGTAAAAGCCACCACCCCATTGAGACCCTCGAAAAAGGGCTCGGTTGACAAGCGTTGCTCGGTAAAATGAGCGCTTTTAGAAAGAAACGAAAAGCGGACGCGAGCAAGCCTAGCTTTTAAGTTAAACTAATAAGTATGCCTTGGAATTTGTCTGCATAAATGTTCTTAATCTGCTTAAGGCAAAATGCATGAAAATACTTACTTCCAAATGTGTTGAACTTCATTAGCCATGTTAAGTGGCGTGCGAGACTGGGCTCGGGTTGTGTCGAATTGCACCGCGGGGCTTTTCTTTAGAGCGATTTTCGTATGACCTTGAAAAATGGTGTCGGTAAGTGTTCGTTATTTGCGGCTTTATCAGTCAATGGATGAAAAGATCAAAACATGACTTCTTCGTTTTCCCGTCAAACAAAACCCTTATTTGGAGAAGGCATTGTTCGATTGGCCAATCGTGTTGCAGTATGACGTCAAAGCGAATTATCAGTTGATTTCTAGAAAGTTCTCGGGCATGAAGTTTTTTCACCCGAGCGTTTGCTAAACCAACCAAAAATCACCCGCGTTTGTATCCGTTCGATAAACCAATCAAATCGCTCTATTTCCGATCGTTTGTTCTTTTTTTGTTTTGTTCGCGCGTTTTCATTTCAAGGTCATACGAAAATCGCTCTATGTTCCCCCACCCCCCCGCTCAAAAAAAACATTACAGAGAATTAAACTGAAGACAGAAAGCTTAAAACACCAATTTAGCATAACAATAGGTAGTTTCAGAATCACGTTAAACGGCAAACGGAAAAAGTCAACTTGTGCCGCGTGATCAAGTTTTCACTGTACTTGTCGTTTACTATAAAAATAATTGCCCGTAGTTTCGTTTTACTTCTATCACCTAAATAAGAGTTTATTTCGTCAGTTTTTTATCTGTTCATTTCATAATTTCAGCGAGAAATTGTGAAATTTAATCTGAAACGAACGAAAAAGAAATTCGCACAAAATCAGAAATGACGCTCGATTAAATTTTTTACCTTCTGTCCGCTATTCCAATTTTATAAAACCTATTTTTCTAACATTAAACAGGAAAAATACTCACCGTTCACTTTTCGTCGACGGTCGCACAGAGCTATATCACTTGTCTTTTCTTGGAAAGCTCAGTTAATTCTCGCTCAGGAAACATTGTTAAGAAAAAAGCGTCGACATATTACTGGTGACGCGGTTTTCTTTCCAGTCTTTTTGTTTTAATTTTGACTTCCAGTAAAGACTCGCTTTATTGACGTAAGAATAGACGTCTGCACCCTTTACAACAAGGAAAAGGTTTTTTTTGCGGCCCTTTAGTTTGCTTGGCTTAATTATTGGCAGGTCTTGTTCGAAAACCCTTAAATTGTACTTACACAAGCGCCGAACTCTTCCCAAGGTAAATAGTCAACGCTACAAATGCCAACGTGGGCGAAAAAGGTAATCAACACAGTACGTCTCTGTTAATAGAATTGTCCCACACAAACTCATCAAATTTTAAAAAACTGAGCCGGCTGGAAGTTATTTATAGCGCTGCTACCGACAGAACTAAATCAGAGTGGAAGATAGAATGCGAAGCACTCTAAATCGACAAGAATCGCCTTTTGAACTTAATAAAAACTTTATTCCAGTGTGAAAAACTGAAAAATAATGGGCCTGAAAATCAGCCTTTTTCGTCTCTGGTAAACGTACTTCAAATATCATGTGAGGAGCACCATCCAGTCATTTATATTTGTTGAAAAATTTATATTTGTTGAAAACACTCGTTTTTCTATTTCCGTCTCGCGCCTGAATTGTTTAGTAGTCATGCTTAGTGCGAGGACGTTTACTTGACCCTAGATTGACATCGTGAACGACTATAACCAGCCGCAAAGTTCAATTTTTTTTCTCTATCATTTCCCTGTTCTATCTCTCCAATCTACCTTATTTTTATTTTTTTTATATATTTAACCCAAAATGTTTTTTTGTAGAGGAGTACATTGAGCCATAACACAAATCGTCATCTCCGATCACGTTTCTCCGTTTTTGGCGCACAACATGTGCAGTGCTACGTGAGTTCTGATTTGCCCCCTCCCTCTGCGCGGCATTTGCCAATAGGGACCTTAAGCAAAGACGTTTTTGAGCGACGCACGTCAACCGGAAGTGAGGTCTTCTCCCTTTTTATATGCCTTGACGCTAACAAACTTGTATTGCTGAGTTTCTTTTCTCTTTTAAAGACGATTTACCCGAGAGTTTCAACCAAACCGCTCCCCAATGATGCAAAAAGTCCACTTCCGGCTGACGTCCGTCGCTCAAAAACGCTGTTGCTTAAGCTCCCTAATATATGAATAAGAACCTCTATATAACGAAACGTCTTTGTAGCGAACCAATTTTGGCACTCCTCTGGGCTTTATCGGGGTTCCACTTTACTTTTTTTTATATGACCTGGTAGAACTTGATTTATTTCGCTGCGCATTCAGAATTAACTTCTTTCAAAACTAACATCATGGAATTAGAATTTTGCGGGAACGTAGACCACTCATCTCCAAACTTCACATCCGTACTCCTAAAATGTTTTCTTGTCCAAAAAGACACTCTGCCGTTCAAGTTGCTGAAAGAGCGAAATTGCTGATCTGTCGGTCCACCTGCTCCAACACCCTCGCATCTCTCCTATGAAATATTCCCATCTTTTCCATAAGACGAAATATCCACCGAGCAATGCGAGCTTGTCACCAGTGATAAACTGACCTTTGAACAAATACCCAAAGCTGTGTATATGGAGGGATTAAGGTCCTAGTACCAGGAAGATTCTAGAAGGCGGAACAACATGACGTTGGGTTTACCGATGCAGGAATTTCGGTACGTGTGGTGCCCAAAAATAGAAGGTTCGAGAGGGAATTAAAAATGGCGGGCGACAAAAAAAAACATACAAATTGGGCCCTTCTGCTCTCTTTCCTGGCGTTAAGAACTATCTTTCAGTAGAATTATCACAATAATCGGCTCGTGGTAACGCCAAACGAAATATAAATGGTCGGCCTTTATTGCTGTGACTAGTCACTGAGCGAGCCGCCGCTATTTTTGTTCGGTTTGTTCCTAGTACTAGTATCTTCCTAGAGAAGGTAGTTTTAAATGGTACTAGGATCTTCCTACCTGTTAGCTATGAAGATCTTAGTACTAGGAAGATCCTAGCTCTAAGGACAAGTACAACCGTTTGTATGTAAACTGAATACAGAAAATGTATGGCTCTAGGATGACTCCGTCTTTGAGGATCTTCCTGGTACAAGGATCTTACTCCCTCCGTGTAAACAGCCCCTAAGTAGCGTGCGTTTCACTGATTTCCCATTCAACAAGCATGCACGTATTGTGAACCTAGCGTATTTTTATGGACTTTTAGCCCCTGATCTTCTGTCACAGTCCTCTGTTTTCCGTCGGCTCCTGTTTCCATAGTTTCTCATGCACTAAGGGGGGCGTGCCCAAGGGTTTATAGCAGTGCGGGAAAGGAGGTCCCGTCCGCCTTAGCCTCCACCTCCGACTCCTCCCATACCATCCCGCGCCCTCTGAGTACAGTTAGATTTGACGCTCATCCCCAGGCTATGCTCGGTTTATTTTAACCGCAAGGTCCTGACGATCTTACGGAAGTAGTCACGGGAGAGTCACGGAAGTATATATAAGTTATTATCGGTTTGTTTTCACTAATTCGCTTCTTCTTCACTAATATTCGTGCTTGGAGCGGTTGTATATCGTGCGAGTGGACCAGGTATTTTGCATCATGCAGGCGGAATCTAACCAATACGAGAAATCCAAAGAGAACTCCAGGTTATTATACACATCACGCGATGAACAGGAAATTGATTCCTACAGCGAAGATATGATACTCTCAGGTAAAAGATAACATTAAAGTCGTTTAATCACAGGGCGCCCACACAATCTGCTTGTGCAGCCGATTGTTATTTTATAGTAAATGTGCTGGATTTACCGTTTGCCTCGTTCGCCGTTGACTGTTCCTTCTATTATAAGGAACAGTCAACGGCGAACTCAAACTCCTTCAAAATCGCTCAAAAAACCGCTTTTGAGGCAAAAGGAAGATTATATACTATATGTAAGGTAATTAAACGTTTATTTATCATTGATTTATATACATAGTTAGCAACATATCGGTACAGGTGAGGCAAACGGTGAATCCAGTACATTTGCTATAAAATAACTATCGGCTACACGAACAGATTGTGTGGAGGCCCTCTGGTTTAATGAGACCTGCTTGATGTCTCAAGTGACTCAGATACCCGGTTTCTTACGTGATAGAAAAAATAAGGTTACCGATTTTTCTGAGGCTGCCAAATTCTGAAAGGCTCTTGTAAGTTTTTACAAAGCTATGATCATTTCAAGATTTTACGCAAATTAGGCTCAAGCAATGCCTTACCGGTAACAGCCATGTCGAGGTGACTTTATTTCAGTCACAACGAAATCACGCTATGGTCACGCCAGTTGGGCACGAAACTTAGAAAATGCTTCCGACCATACACTAGGGGACGAAGTTGAATATATAATTTTTTTTATATTAACAAGCACAGGAGTTTGGTCTTGAGTAGTAATCATTGATCGTTTATTGCGACAGTGCTGTTTCGTATGGTCCGAAATTGTAGGACGACACTCAAGTTGTCAGACTGGAGAGAGTTGCTATGCCTCAAGGGCTAGAATTGCCGTAGAATGTATTATATTAGAGACTAGCTCACAATGCAAAGTAGGTCTGGTAAACCGCATGAAACACTGAAAGATCCTAATAAAATATTTACAGTTTTTACTTAAAATATGAAAATAGGCAGTTTTATTAAAAAATAGACTTATGACATCATATCCCAGTACATAGCAGCTTATTCTCTCCAAACATTATCAAAATGAATCTAAGGGATGCGAACAGCTACAAGAAACAGCATGTCCTAAAAACTTCTCCTTGCATGTCCGATAGTTAATTAACACAATAATAAGAAAATAACTATTCACAGACTACTATTGTTAAATTTCGTTAAGATCAACCAACACGAGGATTTCATCTTGACACAAGAAAGATGCTGATTGGTGTTGCCATAGTGATCGGCATCGCTCTGTCCTGGGTGGGTTCGACGCAGTTCGCTCAGAGTACATACTCACCGGAGTTCAATGCACCGTTTTTTGTCACGTGGTTCTCAACTTCCTGGATGCTAGTAGTTTTTCCTGCCTATTTTTTGCCAGGACTACTGAAAGGAAAAACGATTATTCAGTTTTACAGGTGAGCTCAATAGGCCATTTCTGAGTTTCAAAATTTCCCATTTTCAAAACGGGGCTAAGGGCAAAACCTTTTTTACTGAAAACGAGTTTTATTTGCATGAGAATAGAGAACTATTTTCATATTAATTGTCTCGCACTCAGCTTCGTTCTGAAACAGAGGCTAAAGGGGTTAATAAATAGAGATGAAGGTCCTTTTTTTCAAAACTTACATTACTAAGATAAGATTCATTTAGAAATGTTTCAACAGCCTAATTAAAGATTGACACCGTATTCCTCTAAAAATCACAACCAAATAGATTTCTGCCTACTGCAAGTCAGACATTGAATCAGGATGTGTACGAATATAAAAGCCTTTCCTAAGATACAAGACTTTCTACATTGCTTCAAATCGATTTATCTATTGGAGGAAAACTTAAAGCCTAAAGAAAGCGCAACCAAAAAGTGGGAGCTTTTAAAAAACTTTATTTTGAAGGACTGTGTTAGTTTCTCCTCGTAGTTGTCAGTCCCTAAATCCGTACAAGCCTTGACAACCTTCCTTCACTGCTTACTCAAATAAATCAAGCAATGCGCAATGCATGACAGTTTGCGCTTTAATGTTTTTAGTTTAACTTGTAAGCACCGCTTAATCTAATCTGTTTAACGTCTGTAAGTACCTGTTTGAAAAGATTGCAATAAAAAATGAGTTTACGTTTGAAAACGCGTAAGATACTTTCCAACACCTCTTCGCTTATCTTCACACTAAAATTCCCCAAAACGCTGGCCGACATAACATAAAAATGGATAACATCAGCTTAATTAATCGTTTTTAATCCGGCAATTTTGATGTTGCTAAATTACTGATTGCTTAATCCTTTTTGCAGAGATAGATTTATATTGGTAAACTTTGACACAAGAGTTCATGTCTTGTTGTGATTGTTAACTTGTTTTAGAGAAAGTGAAAAGGTGTTTGGAAGTCAAGGCCTGCATCTTAAGTCCTTAATCAAATACGTGGGTCCGTTCTGTTTGCTGTGGATGTTGACGAACTATTCTTTCGTTCGTGCTCTCGGCGTGATCCGGGCAGCGGATGTCACGGCGCTGTTTTCATCCTGTAATGCTTTTGTTTATGTGTTCTCCTTGATTTGGCTAAGGGAAAGGCTAGGCATTGTTAAGGTGAGACGAAAGATATGTTAAGTGTTCCCAAAATTAAGCCACGGTAAAACGGGCATCAGAAACGTGCAACTTGGTTTGCAACATTGCTGCAAAACTCGTTTTATCACCCACGTTCAAACCTGTTTTGCAACACTGAATCAGGTTGTCGCAAGTTGTGTGAATACTGACTTCTGATTGGATAAAATTACGCGGGAGTCAAGCCATACAGTTGAGGTACGTCACTTGCTGCAAAACAAGTTTGCATTGGGCCGGTAAAACTCGCAACATGTACAGATTTTGTTGCAAAAAGTAGGAGTACTCCCTACTTTCTGCAACAACTTTTAGCAACCTACAAAAACCTGATTTGTCGCAAGATAGGTTTGATTCGTCGGTGGTGAAACACGCAACATCGCAATTCAACTTTTTGTTTTGCAGAAATGTCGCAAAACAAGTTGCAAGTTTTTGTTGCCCGTTTGTTCCGTTTTAAGCAACGACGAAGATGATAGCAGTCAAAAACTCGCTAAAAATTAATTCACGTTCTTTAAAACGTTATCGCGTCCTTTTAGATCCGCTCAAATAGTCAAATATGGGCGGTTTTTCCTGGATTTTAATTTTTTTAGACTGTATCCAGGTTAAAAAAGGAAAAAGAGAATTCGTCTTCGTATGTTCACGTCCTCAATCCATGAACGTCGCATTAGGAGGTTTGACGTCTTAGTCCTGCTGTGTATGTGCGTCAAAGATATGTACCAAAAAGCGTGATGCACGTCGTGCAAAACTGTTGTTTTGCTCATAAAGCCCGTTGTTTTTTGACGTTGTCGTCGTCTTGGTGATAATGTTGTCAAAGCTCCCTTCACTTGAATAAATTTATCTTCCTCATTGACAAGCTTCACTATGTTTAAATTCATTCTAAAATTACCAGGTAACGGCAGTCCTGTTATGTATTGGCGGTATAGTGATGATGGCTTATGCCGAAGGTTTTGAAGGACCGAACGCTGCCGGTGTAATACTGTCCGTAGCTGCAGCTATTGGGGCTGCTTTGTACAAGGTAACTTCTGAAGTACTGTTAGGGTCTCAAACGCAACCAACATGCGTGGCCCCTGTGAGAAAGTGCATGTTGTAACCCCGAGAATACAATACGGTTAGTGTGAAAGGGGCTATCTGACGTCACTGTTTTAAGCCCCTTGAAAACGGGCGCAACATTGAGTGTATTTATACGAACACTTTCACGTCCAGGGTAAGCCGTGGCTTGGATAGGCCCAGCACAAAACTGCTCGGCCAGGATAAGCCGCGGGTTGAATAATCTGTGAACGTAGATTTTGTACCATTTACAGCTATTCAGAAAGGTTGTTGGAAAAAATGTGCACGCGAGAACCCTAACCCTAACCCTTACCCTAACCCATTCTATCTATTTCTAGATAATTTTTACATTTTAGATTTTTTTTTTTAGTGGTTTGTAAAGCGCCTTTGGATGCCTGCAGAAAAGGCGCTATATAAATTTGTTATTATGATTATGATTATTATTATTATTGTCATCATCTCACCCCCCCACCTCTCCCCGCCCCCCACTAGGGATGTACAATTTGTGTGAGACATGTATTCGCATCGTTTTTAGGGTCGTCACGCAACGCTGAAGAAGCATTGCGTGACGACCCTCTACAGAAGGAGACTATACATGCCCATGCCGCCTGTTTTTAATTTAGGTGTGGTTCAAAAGGATCGTAGGAGATGCTACATTGGGTCAAGTTTCTCTGTTTCTGTCCTGTCTTGGCCTGCTAAGCACATTACTTTTCTGGCCAATTATCGTCATCTTTCATCTCACACACTACGAAGACCTCACCTGGAGAAATATTCCATGGAAATATCTTTGTGGACATGCATTTCTAGGGATAATTTTTAACTTTTTGATTAACTTCGGTATTGCCTTCACGTACCCTTTGTTTATCTCTCTGGGCACCGTTCTCGGGATTCCTATCAATGCTTTGACAGATTTTCTCTTCCGAGGTTCAGCGTTCGGTGGTTTTAAGATAGTCGCTGCATCGTATATTGTCATTGGTTTTCTATTCATGTTATTACCGAAAGAATTTGAAGAAAATCTTCAGCAAACATTTTGTTGCGGCGGCCTGTGTAGGTAATCTATTTTTTAAATAACGTGTGATCACAAACATTTCAAAACTAGGTGGTTCGCAGCCAAATACGTTTTTACCCTTAAAAAGAATATCATTATACGTTTCTGGGAAACTGCCCACCTACCCCTCCCCTAAGCCAACAAGTAAGAAGTAAGTGTTAATGTTGGCTTAGGGGAGGGGTAGGTGGGCAGTTTCCCAGAAACGTATAATGATCGAAACAGAAAGGATGAAACAAATGCAAATAAATATTACATATGTATGCGAAGTGACGTCTTTGAAAAGAGTACTAAATTCTATACTTTTTCCCTGGTCAATGTAAGGCGTTTTTCCAGCCCTTCTCGGTCAATTCACCTCGGTGACGTATCCGAGGCGAACGGGCGGGAAACGCCTCACTTTTTCTCTCGGACCACGTGACCCGAAACGCATTGGCCTAGGGACTAAAGGGCCGACCATTTGAAGCGGCCCCAGGTATATATTTCCTTGCAAGAATTTTTTTCCCCTGTTGGATATTTTTTTCTGAAATCACCCATACCCTACCCCCCGCCCCCCCGCTCCAAAGTGAAATGGTCGTCCCTAAGCAAATGACGTTTCACTACCCAGTTCTCATTGGTCGTGACGCGTGAGAAATTTTTGTGATTGGTCGTGACGCGTGAGAAATTTGCATCAACCAATCAGAACCACTACCCAGATCTGGGTACAGACACGTGGTCAGTAGGGGAGTTCTGCCCTTGTTTCTAGGACTTCAAGTCATTTGGGGGCGGGAGGGGGGGGGAATGAGTGGTGGCTTCGCGAAACGTCATCTGTTTTCTCAGCCTAGATTCTTTGGATTTTCGTGCTAACGGTAGACAAAATCTCCTCTAATACGAGAGGTTTTTCTCCGGGTATACCCCCAGTCTGCTTACCAAAAGAAACAAAAGACTGGTTTTGTCTTGAATCGTTTCTGCTCAGAAAGGGAAGTCCTTGAGCTCGGCTGGCTACCTACACTACAAAATACTCAATTAAACATTCTTATTAAGCTTGGACGTCGAACTCTTTTGGCACAATACATTGTACATTGCTCTCTAATAGTGCGCCTGCAATAGAAATTTCTTTAGTTAAGGGTACTTTCCAGTGCTGGTTAGCGACTTTAATTAATACCCTTCCCGCTAATGTACGGCGGTGTCCAGACTTTTCTACGTTTTAAAAATAAAAATAAAAAAAAATCGTTACTATTATTATCATCATTATTAGAAAATCATGATTTTCTGTTAAATTGTCTTAAAGGAATTGTCTTAAAGCAATTGTCTTAAAGGAATGTTTAGATAGCAAAATCTCACAAAATCAGTAACGTTTTTAACCAACAAAGGAGCTTTCCCAGCTGCCAGCTAAATGCCTCGTCATGCAAAAGCCTGGAAATTCAAGCGTCCTCTATGAAAGAGCGAAGAACCCCTTTGAACTGAAAATCTGTTTTAAAAAAGGTGTTTTGGAGCTGTAACACCTCATGAAAGTAGAAACTCAAAAGAACCAACAATTTGGTAGTTTGAATTTCAGTGACATCATGTGAAACCAAGAATAATAAAACACAAGACCACTTTAAATCACAAACAACTGAAGAATGCTTTATACAAAATAAAAATTATCACATCTAATTTTGCACACTTTGGTATTTTACAGTTTGACATGAATACTGGATGTTACTGTCACTTGCAAATCAAACCATGATAAATTATTACTATGGTTACCTGATCACAGGACACCAACATGAATTTGCTATTCATGGGTATCCTATGATCAGGCTTGTTTACATGTCACATATTAATAAGCTTAGAAATAAGTATTGACGACGTCATCCCTTAATCAACACTTCTCACTAACATTTGATAGAGACCCCCCCTTTATATGTATACAATGTATAATATCATTACTATATATTCCAACCATGTCCAGACTTGTCGCTCTCGAAAAATGACTGTATCCATGAAATAAACTCATATCATAGCCAAGCATATCCATTGCCTCACAGTCAATAATCATGGAAAAAATTTGGGTGCTTCTACCTTGTGAGTCCGTGGATGAAATCCTTTTGTGTAAATTCAGATGAAAGCTACTGAGCAGTGGCTTCCTACATAGTGGTTCAAAATTTCCAGTTTGGAAAAAAATGGACATTGTGTTCTTTCAAATGAAACCTCTGGGTGCAATTACACATGAGATTGATTGTTCCACTTTTCTTCATAATTTTAATTGGCAGTGCACTAGCAAAGAGCCTTTTAAACAAGTCTGAACAAAACCTCAGTTTAAAAATCTTTGCCATAGTTGTTATAAACAACTATTTTCTCCTTAAAAGAATAATAATTTATGAATAAAGATCACAAGAATAAAGTTAATGATAACATAGCCTGTCAATTTGTAACACCACTTGGAGTTGCTTACTCCCTCAGTCACTCAAGGTGATGTTGGAAATTCAGGCTAATGATTACCGTACATGTACAAGGGAAAATAAGATCTTAAAATCCTTTTTCAGTTCAAAGTAGATCAGAAATAAGAGTGCAAATAGTCTACGGAATTAATTAGGATGTAAATCTGGTAAAACCTGCAATAAGTGTCATAGAAGTTGATTTTCATATAATAATTTATCACTGTGATCAATGACAATTTCTTTCAGCAATCATCAGAAAACAACCTTTTATACTGAACAAGGAAAAACAGTGACACCTGTTTTGAAGGTCTACAATCAGATTTTTCATGCAATTTTTTTTCACACGCTGCAAGGCATTGTAAGTGGTTATGGTGCAAATTTGGAGCAGTTTTGGTGGAATATTCAAAATTCTTTTGAGAGTTAACCCCTGCTTAAAAACATCAAGATATTACTATTCACAGCAATAAATATCAATGAAACTGCTACTGTTTTATGCCAATAATTTCATCATAAGCAAACCTTAGTAAGACAAGAATTAATGCAGAAAAATATAAAGTAGAACCTTGATAACTCAAACTCATTAAATTTGAACTTCCCATTTTTTAAACTAATTTTATCATCAATTTGTTTCACTTGGTAGCAAAATTGCTACCCACTAAGTCAAACCCTAGATATATCGACCCTTTTTGTTTCTCTGAGAAGTTTGAGTTGATGGGGTTCTACTGTTCAAATCTTGCAAATTGTTAAATTGCTTTGAGAGGCTGCACTGAACCTAAATTGACAACTACATCAAAACTAATGTTTACACAATGTAAAAATATCTTCTGTATTCTAACTTTTGGCTTTATGCCTAGCATGTATACTCTCTTTGGTGCTTCAAAAGGGCGGATGGAGCATTTAAGAATAACCATTAAAATTAAAGCTACTGAGTGGTAACTTCAATAGGGTTTTACCTAAAACTCAGAATCTAGAATCCAGAAAAAACCCACGCTGAACGACTCTAAAGTTTAGTGATTAGGGTTAGGAAACTGAGTGAATCAAGTTAAAGTCAGTTTGCCTAGTATAATGACCCTAAACGGAACATGATTCACTCCGTTTCCTAACCCTAATTGCTAAACTTCAGGGTCACCTGGCGTGAACTTTTTCCAGATTCCGGATTCTGGGTTTTAGGCAAACCCACTTCAATACGTGCTATTTGCTTTTGAAATGGAGAATTTTGGAAATTTTGAAGTATTTTAAATTCTAAGAAGTTCATCCCCTTCTCTACCAAAGTTTAGCCTTAATTTCATGAGACAAGTTCTAACTTTTGAGATAGCAAAAGAATTCAAAAGATGTGACCAAATAAGCAGTACTTTCCTGAGGTAGAGTTTATTACGCCACGGTTCTAACTTTTGTGTCTTTGGATAAAATCCTTAAGTGCGACCATTCAAATGAAAGCTGCTGATCAGAGCCGAGTTGTTCAAAGCTAGGTTAAGATAACCCAGGGTTAGTACGAAATTTAAATTCAAATATAAAAGCTTAAAAAGCAAATTCAGTTTAATTCTTTTTGTTCACTATTGGGTGATTGGATGCTCTAATAAAAATAAAGAAAATGCTTTTGAACAAAAGAAAAGAAACTGGGATTAAAATTTAACCCCGGGTTAGCTCTTATTGGCCTTTGAACAACTGGGCCAAGAACTTTCCTATGGTGCTGTTTATTATGCTGTACACGGTGGTTGTAACCATTAAGTCCATGGATGAAATCCAAATTATGACCGGACCCATTGAATGAAAGCTACTGAGAAGTACTTTTCCGTGGTACAGTTTAATATGCTGTGCACGATGTAAATTCTAACTTTTCAATTTCTGCAAAAAGCACTGACAGGTTACTAATAAAATTCGATAAAAAAATTCTTTAAAATCATACTGAGCATTTTTGTTCAATAGCTTGCAAAGATAACTATAGGAAAATCTTTCATTATCTTTTTGGCACATGAAACTTTTGGGAGAGAAGGGGTTAAGGATTTAACCAAGTTTACTGACAGTATTGTCTCATCTACACCTGTACATTTCCCTGTGATCTTTCACACTTATTCTCCGCCAGCAGCTCACAAATAATTTACATTTCTGATGTCACAAATGAACGATTCTAGCATCCAATGAGTAACATCACTTTGGCGCGCGTCTTGTCACATAATGTTCAGGTGCAAGCTTTACAGAAGAATGCAGCCTTTTTTACTTTTCTTCTTCTTTGCTTCTGGTGTCTTTCTGTTTATTTGTCTGACCAGGTCGTAAAAGATTTCATTGACATTGATCTTTGATTTAGCTGATGTTTCCAGAAAGGCACTGAAAAATATAATATACTAAAATATTACCAATGGACCTGCTTTGCCATTGGAAGCAAATGGTGTGGCGATGTACTGTTTGCCACAAGGCAAGTACAATAACAATAGGCCATATGGGTCTCCAACAAAGAGGGAAATAGACTCGCTTACCCTTAAAGGGAGACTACACCAATAGGGGTCTAAGTTGTGATTCAATTTTATCAAAGGGTTTAAATTTTATTTCCTTGTTTCAAACTCATTATCATATATTACCATATCCCAACACAAAGGAAAATAAAATTTAAACCAAGGATAGAATTGAACTAAAACATCTACATGTATATCCATCTTAGTTTTGACCACCAATGTACTTAATAATGGGAAATACATTCAGCACACAATATGAATAGCAAACTGATATACATAATAAAATAGTTAACAAAGAAAAATGGATCCCCAAAAAAGAAAGGCAAGAATGAGACACTCAGACCCATGCAAGGCACTGCCACGTAAAAACTAGCTTACCAGTTATTAAACGTTTTTGCTAAATTCTGTCCTTGGTCTTTTCCAACAACTCTTTCATCTTCCAAATCACATTTGTTTCCAACTAGGACCATCGGCACCTAAACAGAAATATCATAATAAAGTCAAATCAGACCCTTCAATAAGAATAACGAAAGGCCAACTTTCAAGTTGCCTCAACCCTTATTTCAAAGCGAAGCTAAGTACAAAGCATCCTCGGAGACCCAGGGGCAGATAGTGGGGGCGAGGGAAAGTCTAAACGAGCGGAAAAATATGGCACGAAGAAAAGTAAAGAACGGCGAGAAGAGCCCCTGGGGACAATGTCTTACCAGACCAGTTCCAAACGGTCACCACTGTTCTGCCTTCTGATTGGGCAGAAAAACACAAAAGTTTTCTGGCACCAATAAGAAGTCAGAATGGCGGCGACTGTTTGGAACTGGTCTGGTAAGACATTGTTCCCAGGGGCTCTTCTCGCCGTTCTTTACTTTTCTTCGTGCCATATTTTTCCGCTCGTTTAGACTTTCCCTCGCCCTAAGTATCTGCCCCTGGGTTTCCGAGGATGAGTACAAAGTCATTGACATAAAATTATTTCCAGGGATGTAGCTTAAATTTATAACAGATGGGAAATGGCATTTGATGGGTAGGTAATATGAGAAGAAAACAGTTGCCTTTTTGAGGACTGCAATTTTTATCAGCCAGAAAAAAATATGTTGAGAGCGGGGTATTTTCCCTGGCTCCTGGATACTATCTACCTCCCTGATTTCTTATTCCCAGGCACAGAAAACTCAGTTTCACAAGAAAGATTTTGCACTTAGCCTTGATTTGAAAGAAAGAATTTGTGTAACTTGGAAATGGTCTATTTCCTTCCACCCATTACTAGTTGATAGTGCCCTGTGTGCTGCTTGGTGCAGAAAGGACTTATGATGAGGGCCGCTAATGACTAAATTACCCTAAGATCACTTACATCACTTGTGTCCTTGACTCGTAAAATCTGTTCTCTTAAGTCCTGGAGATCATTGAATGTTGATTGTGCTGTGATGGAGTACACAAGTACAAAACCTTGACCATTCTTCATGTATAAATCCCTCATTGCTGTAAATTGTTCCTGTATAAAGGGTAACAGACCTGCATTAGCCATAATATTGATTTTTTCAGTGTTTTTTTTTCACACCTGCATAAGTTGCATATTTTAACTTTCATCATCTCGCATTTCAAATACAGGAAATTCACATATTCATCATTTCACCTACATCATTCCTAGGTATATTACAAACCAGCTCCTAGTTGGCCTGCTCACTCAATTCGTTAGAGCGCTGCACTGGTATCGCAAAGGTCAGGCTTTGAATCCTGGCGAGTCAGAATTTTTTTCAGGCTTTCTTTACGCAACTGAATAAGTGATGTATTTAACTGGGATGATCTTCTCTTGAATTATTAGCAAAATGAGCTAATCACGAAAATCTACACCTGAATTCTGGCAAAAAAATAAGTCAGTGGCGTCTGGTTGTCCATTGCTACCACACGAGCACAAACACAAACAAAAAACGAAACTTTGCAGGGGTGGGTAGCTGGCAATGATGAAACTAAAGTAAAATCTGAAAATGCAAGTAAATTTGCTTCCTGGTGTCACAGTAATTTGATCCCTTAAATGGTGCACAGCCTGCAGAATTCAGATTTCAAAATCACCTCAATTTTCTACAGTTTCTGAGGAACAAACATGGTTTTCTTGCCACAAACATGTTTTTTAGGAGAGGAATTTTTTTCCACATAATATAGGCAGATAGGTCCTGATAATTCCAAATTATTTTTAATGTGTTTTTCCACTTATGTTTTTAAGTTTTTAAAGTGGGTATAAAAAGAAATCAAACATTACATTATCAGCTAATTAGGTCAAACATCATGAATAATAAATGTAATAAACATAAGTATTTTCAAATCCAATAATTGGTTTCACAGATAGATACCCTTTGCCGTAAGAAAACTAATTACATGTAGATGCTGCCTAAACTGCAAGAGAATTTTTTTATTATCACTTAGAAAAAACAGTCAAACACCAAGATTTTTCCAAGCCGAGATGTAACGATTCAGTATGAAAATCTTTCCATTTCCCAACCAATGAAAAAGCAATATATGCCTTGCATGATCATTAGGAAAAAATACAAAATAATTGCTTTCATACAGAGTTATCTGATCGCTCTAACTTGGTGAAAATGATAAAATAAAATACTCAAACCCTCAAGTTTGAAGTGTGAACTGTTCATTTGACAACAAATATGAATAAACATAAGAAAATTTTCGTGTGTTGTAAAGTTAACCAAACGAAGACTTTTCCTCCTCGATTCTTCGCAAAATAAGGGGGATCTTTACCGTTCCTGCTGTGTCCAATATCTCTAGCATACATTGCTGCCCATCAACCTCAACTTGCTGGAAGGGAAAAGAGATAGAGCATTATGAATATTTGCAGGAATGTCGAGTGTTATAACGCAGGTTAACCGGATAGACGTCGTGCCGGCGAAAGCAAATTACAGCATTCTCAAATAGAAATACCTTTCGATATGAATCTTCGATGGTCGGGTCGTACTTCTCGACGAAAATTCCCTGAACAAATTGGACAGTCTAACCAGAAAAGATACCAAAAATTGATTAGTTCGGGGACAAGGAGAAATCAAAAAGAACATTTTATGTAGTTGAAAATATTGTCGCCTTCTCGCTCTCGCGACATCGTTGGGAAATCAATATACTTAGCATCATTTCTCGTTTCACTGAATCTTAACAGTTTTAGAGTGAGCGTAAAGTTATAATTACCAAAGCACTCTTGCCAACGCCACCAGAACCGAGAACAACAAGTTTGTATTCGCGCATCATGAAAAGAAGATGAGTTGAAATCTACAACCAACATAGAGAGAGACACCGCCATTAGTGAAACCAAAACTTCAGGAAACTATTGCCCAGTTAGTTCAAATTTAAAAAGCTTCACACAGAAGAACGTACAAATGTTTTCAAATAGGGCGTTACCTGTCAAAACGCTGAAATTGCAGTCGATTTTTCAGGAGAAAGAAATAAACACAAGACTTGAAGACGGGACGCTCCCTGTAAATCTTGAGCTAGCAATACGGGTGTGACGTACACAGCGGCTCTGTTATATAGCCTCACTTTGAACCAGCTATTTTTAGGACTGACAGGGTAGGGGTATAAAGACATACTCAGGGACCCTTAGGCAAACCATTTTTCCAGTGCAATGGACTCTGAACTTCATGCTTGCATCGATCTCTGCAAAGAAGGCATTTTATTCTTTGGTCCCACATAGTCTTCCAAAACAACCATTTCTGGATCAACATTTATGAAGAAAGCAAATATCGTGATGGCAAAACTGCGAAATTTGTAGCCGAATGTTGGCTAGTTTCCCAGCATATCTTGCAGACGTGGAATGGAAAAACATGGCCGCTTCTTCGTTCTTTGGTTGATGTTTTGAAAACAAATGAAACCTTTCATGATTTAGAGTAAATTAACTTTGATGCCGCTAATTAAGTGTTGTATTACAGTTCACACCACAAATGGCATCAATTCAAAATAACCCTGTTCGAGGAAGCCAGGAACAACCTCCATCTATTTCGGGCGAAGCGAATGTCGGCAAGAAAAGAACGTCCAAATCGCGCTCGAAAGTTTGGGAAAAAGTCATTTGGTTTACAGGAAAGGCAAAAGGCGATAAAGACAACAAAGCTGGCTCGGAAACACTCGCTACCTCTTCAGATTTGCGTAAAAACAATATTGGAGCTGACGTGTATTGTCTTTGCGTGGAAAACAACGGATACCACAACAAGACGAGTAAAAAATTGCGGAAAGTCCGAAGTTTCAATTATTTGAAACGTCGAAAAGTTCGACAGTTTGGCGATCAGTTAGGCTCAGCTGCCGTCGTGGAGGAAGTTAACACAGATGAGTGTGACACAGCGACAGGGACTTTTCATGACTTTGAATCGGACCGAAGGATATCTCGACACGAAAGGCCTGCCAGTTTGCATAGTAACAACATCAGCAGCGAAATGCCGTCAGGGAATGATCTTCCACAATTAGAAAACGAGAACTTAAAAAGCGCCTTAGCCCTACGTGGAAACGATTTGTTATTGCACGGAGGTTGTGTTGGCAACATACGTAAGTCTCCAAGTTTTCATCGAGTAAGGCGCGCTTTCAGTTTTACAGGCCCTGCGTACAACAGCTGGCCAAGAACAAAGCCGCGGAATAAGAGAAATGATTTAGATTGCTCAAGACATTGTTTTTCTACTGGACCTAGACTCTTTTCTGAAGATCACCTACTCCTGGAAATGGCAGCTCTTAAATCTTGCACACCAGATGTGAAAGAGAAAAGTGCAGAACCTAAAAAGAAAAGAGATTTTTTAAGTGATGGTAGCTTCCCTCGCTTGGGTCAAAACAGTCTGGATAGAAATAACAACGACAACAGTGATTCTTTGGAGGCTTTGGGAGATTGTGGAAGTATTTGTATTTCTACTGGTTCAGATTATTCTAAGGATAATTTGGCCAAGGAGAAAATAATGGTGTTGTCTTGTGTGCCTGAAATCCCAGTAGACGATGGGAGAAGTTTAAGCTTTTCTGATGATAGGAATCTTTTAAAGGATATTGATGTTCCAGATAAACAGTCAAAATCTGCGCTTAAATACAAACTTTGTGATGAAAACATAAAAGGATCTGATGAGCCAGGGAATTATTCTGAACGTTGCCCTGAATCACAAGAGTTGAAAGCTGTTAAACACCCCGGTAACGACGATTCTTCAGCTACCTTAAAAGAGGGTTCTTTACCTCTGAAGACTTATGATATAGCTTCAGCTGAAAACAACGTCAAGCCTGGCTTTATTGTTATTCAAAGTGATGCTCAAAAACCATTTATTTGTAGCTCACGTTCACCTGACGTTTATGAAAATGTTGATGAGAAAACTGATTCTCCCTCGTCTTGTGGTGGGTCTCAAATTTTACAGGGAAGAATTAAAACACCACAGCCAAGAAAGCCAGCTATTAATGGACAACAGTTCAAAAAGAATACAGAGGTATTTTGTTAGTAAATAGTGCAGATGAAGGCTTCCAGTTAATGGTATAGGAGAGGCTTCCTTGTATAGATTTTTTGTTGAAAACCATGGGCAGGAGGGTACAAATTGCCAAACTGGTTCAGATCATTGTTGAAACAGAGGAAGGGAATATTGTGTTGCATTCTTAAGAAACATGTTTTTTTCAATGTCTTCCTGGCTCCAGCTGTTTAAAAAGTGGATAAAGCTAACCACTTGATAAATTCCTATCCAATGGATAACACAATGTTGGTTTTTCTAACACTTATCTGCTGGATAGTGATTTTTCTATTGGATAGTAATATCCAGCATTTGAGCAACTGAGGCCAGATGACTAAGATGTAATCTTTTGGCCTTAAGTGTTACCAATAAGAAAACCAAACATTTCAGTTTCAGATGACTCTCCAAATCATGTACGACTAACTCTAAGGCCTCTGTTCAATGACCTCTCTCAACTCACTCTCTGTGAGGTGCTCTCCAAGCAAGGTGTGGCCCATCCTTAGAATTTCCTCCTTACTGGTTATTGATTCCTTACAGTGTGAGAGAGTTTTTATACCAATCATGTTAGATCAGCCTCAAAGTCTGGGTACTGAGGTCTCCCTTGTGAGTAACCTACATATAGATTTGACCTCCCCCTAAGAAAGGTTTTTCTTCCTTTAGGGGGAGGATGCCTAACAGTGATCAGTGTGAAATTTCTCCTTATAGTATCAATGCTTTAGAAAACAGAGTGGTCATGAGAGTTGAGTACATGGTCAGGGAAGACGAGTCTAATTGATATTTCAACCAAGTCTCCCCACTACTTCTATTGAAAAAGTGTATGGACAGTAAATGAGAATCTCAATTTTGATCTCAGGGTTTAAAGGGGTAAAGGCCCAATATCCTGAAACAAATTCTCTAGACCCATCTTCATATAACTAATTGGTCAAGAGAGTTTGTTTGAAGATCAAAGCATTTTACCTTTATTAATTCACATACCCTAATCTAGCCTGCGAAAACATCCGTTTCTCCTCGCTCTCCTCGCGGCTGGGGACGTTTCGCACGGAGGAACGTCTGCAACTCAGCGACAGAAATTCCGTACTGATGACATAAAATCTGTCCGGAATCCGGTCAGAAGCGCTGATTGGTCGACGCAGCAGTTACATTGTTTTAGCTATTGTTTATGAATGACAGACAAAAAACAAAAGGCCACAAAGGTCAAATGTAAACGCGAAGAATCTCTAACAAAACAGTCAATTTCTGTGGAATATAGACTTCTGTAGAAGAAGCATTTGAATTTTGCTGGAGCTCATGGGCAGATCAACACAACACTTTACCAAAATCGACCAGAAGACAGGCAAAATTAGACAAATTTATATTTGGAACCCCATGACTACCGGATTTATTATGTAAACATTGATTTGCGTCATCAGTATGGAATTTCTGTCGCTGAGTCGCAGACGTTCCTCCGCGCGAAACGTTCCCAGCGACGAAGAGCGAGGAGAAACGGATGTTTTCGCAGGCTAACCCTAATCTCACCTTTTTATTAAGTATTGACAATATTAGCAGGAAATTGATGTTGGTGACTCACTTTTGGGGCTTTTAGGTTTAAGAGTGCAGGGTAACCACCTTTTTGGCTTTTTTAGGTTATTTTGCACTGGTTCAGAGAATTTAATGATGCACAGAAGAATATTCTGATCAAACAACTTCTGGTAAGTTTTACTTTTTATTTCTGCAAAATCAGGTTTCTATGTTACAAGACAAAATTAAATTCAGGTTAAAATTTTTTAATGTAGGTTAATTCTCGATTTCCTTTGTCTCTTATCCTGGATTATTCATGAATTAGGGCTAGGAGACAAACGAAATTGAGAAAAAAATTTAACCTGAATTTAATTTTGACCTGTAATATTTATGTGTATGAACAAAACCCTGAAAGAGACTTTGTTTTCCTCTGTCTTCATGGTGTATTATTTTAATTCCTTGTTTTTAGACATGCAATTTTCCTGTCAAATGTGGGTCATCAGTCACAAATCACATGATTAGTTTAATTATAAAAATAATTATTATGTTGGGCCAAACAACAAAAAAATTTCTGTGATTCAACTTGGAAACATAATGCTTATTTAAATTTTCTCCTTAATTTTGTTTTTATGAATATTTTTTTTCATGTTTGTAAATAGACGTGAAGACCCCAAATTACGTTATTAATTAGTAAAATTATGCAAATCTAATAAACCAAGTTTGGAGAACAAGAAATTGATTGATTTCCAAAAAAAGACTAATTCCAATTGGTGCAAAATAAAAATAATATAAACTGAATTGTGTGTTGATGGAGCTAATGAGGTATAAGTTGTGTTTACTTCAAAAAAAATTATAAAATACAGTTTTGTAACATTTATTTTGAGATGTGCTCTGTTACAATTTTTAGCTGCTATGGATTTGTCATGGATCATGCTCAGGTTAAGTTAACATGTCATAAAACTTTAATGCTGTTTCTCTAGTTAATCTGGATACTGCATAGCACAAAATTTTTGCAGGAGTTTATTTTTGCGGACTGGCGATTTTTTGTGTTTTGCAAGAACTAATTTTTGCGATTAGGACAGCTTATTTTTCTTGCTGGGCATTTTTGCGATTTTCGGAAAGTCCCCGACAAATCATTTTTTATATTTTCATTTTTATTGAGTAGGTGAGTATTCAGTACCTATTTTTAAACAGTACTACAATGTACGTACCCTACGTAAAACCAGTAATACAGATTAGGTACCTTTTAGTTGTCATTCATTTACAACAGCATATGCAGAGACTGATTGTCCTGATGATCGATCAGAAGTGATCTCATTATCAGTTGATGCATCATCTTTATCAATTCCACTATCTTCTACTTCCAAGTGGTCTGTGTAGCAAATTTTAGGAAAAATGTTTGCAGTAATTTTTTAAGAGGACTTATTTTTGCAGAGTGCGAAAATCATAAAGATTAGAACCCACAAGAATTTTGTGCCACACGGTATACAGTCAGTTCTTTTGACGTTAGAAAGATCACAGACAATATTCCTGTGGAAAATCCCAACACGTTCTCATGGCTGACTTGTCTCTGTTGTTTTGTTATAAGACCGAGGGTTAAAAAAAGTCCAGGAAAACATTTGTTTCACTCCTAAGAAAAGTTATAATGAGTACTAATTTATGATAACCACTTTTCTTGCAGTACGCACTGTAAATATAAAAACTGGGCATTTGGGCATTATTACAGTCAAACCGAGAAAACCGTGAACACCGCAAATATTTCTGGAATGTTATTGTCAGTGTTGCAAGAAGAAGGCCAATCAGGCATGAGAAAACTGAACCGCAAGTTTGTGGTTTTGTGGCTAGTTTGCATGTCCTGATCTTTGCTGTGATTGGTCACAATAAACATCCCTTTGATATTTCAAGTGTTCACGGTTTTCCTGGTCACGCTGTAAGATTAGACTTTTTTGATTCAATTTGTTGAAGATTTTGATTTAAGTTTCAGTGGCATGTTTTTCAGATTGTTTAGTGCTAGGGGCAAAAATACTATTGCACTTGCAGTCTGTAAATTATATTATACAATAGAAGAATGTTACCTGTGAATACAGCTGGAGAGGCAACTGTACCTATACAACAGAAATTCAACATCTTTGACGTAAAATTTGTCCAGAATCTGGTCAGGAGCTCTAATTTGTTAACATAGTGGCTATTATATTGTTTTAACTATTGTTTGTGAATGACAGAAGAAAAAAGGTCACAAAGGTCAAATGTAAAAGCGATGAGTCTACTTCGAAAGAGTCGTTATTCATGGAAGATATTCTTCTTTAGAAGAAGCATCTTAGTTTGGCTACAGCTTGATCACAGGAGATTACAGAGCTGTACCATACTATATCAGGGGAACCATAAACTCGAACAAATTTAAATTTGTTTCTCCATGATTACCAGATATTATATGTGGAAACACTGATTTACATTATCATGTTAGAATTTCTGTCATTGAGGCGCAGATATCTCCCTTGCAAAACATCCTTAGGGGCTCCTGAAGTTGCAAACTCCTGCATCTCTGTAAAGGAGGTGGCGACTCAAGGAGACAGCTGAAATTCAGCCTATGTGGAACAAGGAGAGACAGTTGTGTTTGTAGGCTTAGACGAACAAGACTGACCCATCAGAATAACTCATCCAGAGACTGCAGTCTGTTCTTAAGTGTCATGTAAATGGGAGTCATATTTTTAGACACAGTTTCAATTTTTATAGGAATGATAAGAAGATGATAACAAGCAAACTTGCTTCTGGAAACTAACTAGTGAAACACAGTTAAAAACCTTTGCCTTAACCACTGAAATTTCTAATTTGCAGGAAGAATGTGAGTTACCACAGATGCACATGCTTTCCATCGCCATGGAGCCAATCTTGCACAAAAATTGTCCTCCAAACTGTCAAGACATCCTTGCCTGGTTGCCACATCATGTAGCTATACATGTTCTTTCCTTCCTCGATTTAGGTAATAAGAATCAACTAATTAACAGGCTATTTTTAACTTCCAAAAGCCATTATTCATATTTATTCATCTTCATATGTAATTTTATTGGATGCTTTTTAATAAAGACGTTATTATTAAAGACGTTATTATTACATGTTGTACTTTCTAAATGTGGCCAAGTCTGAAACTTTCTTGTGAAATGAGCTTTATTTACATGAGAATTAAACAGCCATTTGTCACATCAAAATTCTTTGCGTTGTACCTCGTTTTGAAAATAGGCTGATTTAGCAACAGGATGGGAACATCAGTTGATGAGGGGAAAGTGCGCGGAAAGGACTAAACTCGACTTCCGGTGCCCCATTTGTTGCTCTACCATTGGTCAAGCCAGTTGTTTGATTTGCGCACGCCGTTGTCAAGTGACGTTCCCATTCTGTTGCTAAATCAGCCTAATAAGGCTTGAGGCAATTCAGAAACAACCTATTGAAGAATGTGTAGGTCCACAAAATATCCTTATCTCCCCGACTGAGGGTATTTTATCTTAGACCCTGCCACCCAAACTCCCCAGAAAATTCCCTTTAAGCGTCATAGATTTCTTTTAAATTTATGGTCGTTGAGAACCCCTCCTCTGTCAGGAATTTCCAATAATGTCTGAGGGGGAGGGGGCTGTAGATTCTCTAGAACTACATAATACCTCAACTTTGCTAATGACCAATGTTTTCTAATGTCACAATGAAACAAAACCTTGACTCGAATACTTTTTTGTTTCTCTTTCAGTTAGTTTATGTCATTGTAGTCAAGTAAACCGCTCCTGGAACAGTTTAGCTAGTACTCCATCCTTGTGGCAGAACTTATGCGGGTACGTTATACATTCTGTTTTTTATCTATGAATAAAAAAATTACAATGTAAAGGCAATTCCTAATGTCATTTTGTAAAATGTAGAGAAGCGATTAGTGCCATGCCCAGGTTGGATGGTAGGGGTGCCGCGTGGGGTCTTATGAGGGTGAGACAAACAAAAACTGATACCCATTTTATGGCCCAAATCTGGAAAAAGAGACCGCCCTTTCTAAGCAATATTTTTCTCCAAAATATTCCATTTTTTCAAATGACATTTCTTAACAATTTTGTTGCTGATTGTAATGTCATGGATGAGAGGAGAACAGTACACATCCCTTTTTTATTATATATAAAAAATATGTCTACATGTATATCACAAGTCTTCATAATAATGCCAATGGAAGTAAAGAAGATAATTTTGCCATTCATCTTTTTACCTTCACTCATCAGTCAGCCTGAGTGGCAGTTATCTAGAATTGGTGAAGAGAAAGAAAGGAAAAAATACACCAAAGAAGATGGCACAGTGCAGGTATTGTCATAAACCATCATTATAGGCATTGCGTGGTTGACTGAGCATGATGTTCAAGGGACTGGGTATTTGCAGCCAAGTTCTTTGGTTGATAGTTCGATGAAGTCAAGATTACTCTATTTGTTGTACCAAAGCAGGCAGCATAAATAAGACCCATCTTGTCCACTCTTGCCTTACCATAACCTGCCGCTTATAAGCCTCGCCCACCTCACTTATAAGTCCATCCCTCCTAGTTATTGGCCCATGCACTTGTAAATAAGCAAATACTGAACAATTATTGGATAAGGTTTTTGTGATACCCAGAATAATCAAGGTCGAGGTAAGTGTTTCAGCCGAGCCGAAGGCTGAGGCTGATGAAACTTACAAAGACCTTGATTATTCCGGATATTACAGAAACCGAATCTAATAATTTTTTTATTATACGTTATTTTGAAATAAATAATGTCAAATATACTGTCACACTGAACTGATTTGATATTGCTCTTGGAAATAGGGTTGGAAATAATTTTAGACTGGTCAAATGGGCTAAAAAAAAACTTAATATAATTGCATTAAAATTACAGAACATTTAATAGGGGGGTCACGTATGTCCCTAGTGTGAATTTAAGGATCTTTGGTTTCATATATTGAGGAGGAAGCCATGCCACTGTCAGTGTACCCTATACCCTACGAACTGGGATGCAAAAGCTTTCCTTCAAATTTTCCCACCTTACACATTATTCTAAACATTAACCCATAGTTGAAATTTTGCCATATAATTGCAACAACATTTCAGCCCAATGACCTGAGAAAATTTCAGCTTTGCGTGAAATTTGCCATGTAGCCCAATTTACTCCCAATACTTTTTGTATTTTAGTGGAAGAAGATGTTTGCTTCAAGGTACCTTTTACATCAGAATTGGTTAAAAGGAAAATGTAGTGTCCGCACATTTGAAGGTCACACTCAAGGTACTCATTAGTCAGTTTATTTTGCTCTTAAATTTATGAGTGATTTTGTTACAAATAATATGGTGAGTCCTGGGACTCATGTTGTGAGAAATCATCAGTCCCAGTCCAGAACCATTGGGTCCCAGACGAGCACAGAAATTCCCTACTGATGACACGTCACTACTCAGATCTGGGTAGTGACGTGTCATCAGTATGGAATTTCTGCGCTTGTTTCTCAGTTGTCTTTTGGCCAGAAAACCAGTGGTAGCATCGCAAATGTCGGCTATTTTCTCAGGCTAAAATTAAAAATGCTTGGGCCTTTTTGTAACCAGACAGTTAATCTGAAGACAGACCCCAAAACTCTGTATTACAGTATAGTGAAATTAAAATAATTGTAGTCCTTCTATTTTAAAGCACAACAACCTTGGAAGGCTTAAAGAAATATGCATCGTTAAACAACAGCCACAATAACTGCCACAGAAATTATACAAATGGAATATTTCTACAAATACACATGTTCAGATCAGTCAATCAATCTTTGCATCCTACGGGACGCATGCCATGAATTATTTTGTGTCTTTGGGGATTTTTATGTGACAGGGACACATGATGCAGAGGTAGTAAAATCACTGCTTTACAATCTTTAATTCTAAATGTGCATCACCTCAGTATTGTCATTGCATGAACTTCTTCTGATTGCTTGAGATTCCAAGGGGTTGTATCACAGCTGTCCAGTTTATTTTTTTGATAGTGGCAACTGTGCATCCGTGTTTGTTATGGAACTTCAGAAATTACTTGTGAATGACAAAACCATATCTTCTTGTCAAACAAAATTAATATGTCTTGCAAGCATTATATCAAACCATATTAAATGTTATTAAAATCAAAAACTTTGAATAACTGTTGGTTATCAAGTTTTCAAATCTACCACTATTGCAATCCATTTCAATCTTCTTCAATTTTTCCATCCTTGGCTCCTTTTGTATCAAAACCTTTTACTCTGTTATTTGTACCTTCTTTTAAGGTTTTGACTTTTTGTTTCACTCAATTTGGTGGCCGTTCCAACTGTTCGAAAATTGTTTAATCTTGCAAGACAGCTCTTTCAATTTTTATTATCAAATGAATTTTCTTCACAGGAATCTCCTGTGTTCAGTTCGATGACACAAGGATAGCCAGCGGCTCATATGACAAGACAATAAGAGTGTGGGACATTAAGAGCGATGATTCTGATGTTGTTTTGACACTTGCTGGACATTCTGGAACTGTGAGGTGTTTAAATCTCAATGGAAACAGACTTGTCAGTGGCTCTGTGGATCGCTCCATCAAGGTAGGCTGCATGCTGCATTTCTCTAGTTTTGCTCCCATGCCAGCTCAAATTCCGTGACCACATTTTGCTCATGGAAAAGGATGAATCCACCAACATCTATGCATTGTATGAACCCTCCCATGGAAGAAACCCCCAGGGAGACTGCAGAGTTCCTTTTCCAGCTAAGTCCAGGATTGGATTGACCCCAACAAGCATTTCCCAAAGGATGACATTTTTGCACACTGCCCAAGACTGAGCCAGTTGGAGACACCTTACAGTCGCTCTTCAGTCGACCGATGATTATGATGATGATGATAATGATGATGGTCTATGGTTCCTGGGGCAAACTGTAGGGGGCATTTTTCTTTGTGTACCTGTGGACCCCCCTGCTTGCCATAGAGACACTCCCCTACTTTAAAGCCTAGAGATCCTTTTTTTTAACTTTAGAATCAAAGTGTGTCACTGAGGTGACCTGACCTCTGTACCCTCCTCTCCTGCCCCTTGTCTCCCACCCTAATCACATTCCAGTGCAGGGCTTGAAAAAAAAAATGAATTCTGGCTTGTCAATTGGGTGAGCTGCGGTCACATTTTCCTTGCCATAGGCCACCTTTTGTTTGTCTCAATAATTGAGACAAACAAAAGGTTATTAATGGTTCAATAATTGAACCATTATTATTAGAAGTTTGACTTAAAGATGACATGCTGCCCTTGCCCATTGGGCAAGTGTGCTGTAACAGTTACTTGCCCAGCAAGAAAATCCACTGGTCCCAAATTACCAGACAGGACTTTATTCGAGCCCTGCAGAGATCTATAGTATATCCCCCTTTGAAATGTGTCTTGGCCATAGTGAGGTAAATGGTATCAGCTATTGCTGATGTATAGCAGTGATTGCATTTATTTATTTTTTATTTTTATTATCCAGGTTTGGGATTTGTCATTTGAGTCATATTGGAGTGGTGCTTCGTGTAAGGTCACTATGATTGGTCATATGCATACAGTTCGCTGTCTTCAGGTAAAGAGACAGTTTTCAAGTATATATTTCTTTTTCAAAGATTAAAATTCAAGCAGCCTGGAATATTTCTAGCTGCTAAAAGCTCCATAGATAACCTGATACTTAATCTAGTAACCAGTTATAAATCAGTGCAAAGTTTTGCAAAGTCAAATTAAATTATGTTTTTTTTTCTTGATAACCAGTCCTGTAGAATGGGTGAATCATTAAGTTTTCTCAGTTTCATGGTTCTCTTTGCCACTGCAGCTGATGCTGCTACACACACCCTCTCCCCGGTCTAAGGGAACCTCTATAGGAGAAACATTGTAATGGGAGTGGTAGCAAGGGGGTGTTAAGGAATTGGTGTTCAAAGTAATTAAACTATGAGGGTGTCCCAAACATTTTGACGATGATTGTAGCTTACTGAACGTAAATGTTGGTACATGTAGAAAAAGGAATGTGAGCCTGTCTGTAACCATCTGATTTTCTTTTTTATTTAGGTTGATGATGAGAAGGTGGTTAGTGGCTCCTATGACAAGACACTGAAAGTTTGGGATATCAAGACTGGAGACTGTCGGCTTACTCTCAGGTAATTCATACACAGTTCAGACTTTAATCACTTAATAATAAATATCGTTCGAACGGGTTGATGTTTCCTACAAATGAAGCCATTCGAACAGGCTAATATTTCTAGCAAACGGGTGACCAAGCCGTTTGAAAGGCTGACAATCGGCTTGGAAACGGAAAGCCATTAGTTTCATTTTCGGGTGAGAGGTCATGTATAGTCAAGTCTGATCTGTGAAGTCATAGATCAGAGAACCAATGACACTGTTGATTTGATCACTTGAGTTCATACCAGCTGTTTAAATAATGTTAAATTTTCTTGAATTTTGATGGATAGATTGATAGACTCTCTGCTTTTAGGGGTCATAATGCAGCTGTACTCTGTGTCCAGTTTGATGATCGGAAAATTGTGTCTGGGTCATATGACAAGACCATCAAGGTAAAAAATAAATATCACCACATAAAGGTACTGCTCAGTAGCCTTTTTATTTTCAAAGTTAGAGCGAACTTGTATAGCGCGATAACATAACTGCAGAAAAGTTCCGCTTATTAACTTTCATTTGAATGCTGGCACATAAGGATTTCATCCACAGACTCAAAATTTATGAGCACTTTGTACAGCATAATAAACAGAACCACAGGAACGTACTGCTTAGTAGCTTTCATTTGAATGGTTAAACATTAGGATTTCATCCACAGACTCAAAAGTTAGAAACACCTTGTACAGCATAATAAACAGTACCACAGGAAAGTACTGCTTAATAGCTTTCATTTGAATGGTCACACTTCAGGATTTCATCCACAGACTCAAAAATTAGAACCACCTTGTACATCATTATAAACAGCACCACAGGAAAGTACTGCTTGGTAGCTTTCATTTGAATGGTCACACTTTTGGATTTCATCCACAGACTCAAAAGTTAAAACCACCTTGTACAGCATAATAAACAGTACCACAGGAAAGTACTGCTTGGTATCTTTCATTTAAATAGTCACAATTAAGTGACAATTTCATTGTTTATATTTGTGTCGCAGGTATGGAGTCTTGCTGAGGGATCCTGTTTAATGACATTAACAGGCCATCATGATGCAGTCACCTGTTTGAATTTAGCATTTGACAGCAGAAAAGTCATCAGTGGTTCTCTGGATCATAATCTGAAATTTTGGGATCTACGGAATGGAAAAGTTAGTACAAAGCCCCTCTGACTAGCAGAACTGTCAATAATTATAGAGGATGTTACATGGATGTACAGAGATATGAAATTTCTCTCTGAGTGTTGAAAAACTTTCCATGAGTGAGTGCAGTGAACAGATGGAATATTTTTGAACACGTGAAGAGAAAATTCGTATCTCCAAGCAGCCGTGTAATGTTCTATGTATTATGTAAACAACAATGAAATACAAAACCATTTAACTTTTAATTTTTTTTGGTGCAAAAGGTGCAGTTTTTTAGTTAGCCATAGCAACGGTGATCTTTTCACATGTGAAGGTAACATGTTTTTGCGCAAAAGCTCACCTGGTATTTCAATTGTTTTTACATAATGAATTATGTGTAGTGGTCAGGGATTTGAACTTTCCTGCTACATGACCAATTTTGTTGAGGCCGCAACAATACTTCTGAGACTAGAAGTTCTCATTGAGAAGGGAAGTGGTCCCGTGAGTTGCGATGCGAATAGGACAAAGACAGTATGTAGAAGAGTTAAACATATGAATTTTTTTCTTAAAGTCAATAGCATAGAATTATGATGCACTCAGAGTAAAATACAAAACATGAACCGATCCCAATGACAAATATGCTTATATTCAGATACTGACTCGCCAGAGTTTCAACATGATTTTGTAATTCATTTTAACAACAGCAGTTAAAGCTGATAGACTGTTTCTTCATCGAACAATCATTGTGTACATGATGAGAAGAGTTGCGAACAAATAACCTAAAGACTAAAGGCCAAAACTTGTTTATTCACAGGTCAGGTAGACGTACAGTACACGCAGATCACAACTTACAATCCTGATTTCTGAGATAACAATCTGTGTGACGAAAAATACTCGCTATAACTAATCTTGAAACCTAGCATTAAAAAAAACGAAAAAATGTCCCGTACAATAGTTCTTGAACTGTTCTTACTGTTTAGGCTGTTTAAAAAGACAGCAAACATCCGATGTACTACAACTTCTGCACAGATCTTAAACTCACATGAGAACAAAACAAAATGGCGGGTTGCTCTGAAGAGAACAACAGGCGCGGCAGCTAAGCACTTGCTGATTGAACCATGGAACCATGGAACCAAAAAATCTCAAATCGCTCAAGAATATGGGTGCTTCCGGGAAAAAAAGAACAACAATTTCTATCAAACTCAAGCGGCTCCACCCAAACATTTGGCCAATCATGAGTCACATTCACATGATTCAAATAAGTCTCGCTAAAGACGCTTGGTGGTCAATAGGGGGAGAATATTGAATCAGATAACATAATTCAAACCATGATTTTTTAGCAGCAAATTTTGACATTGCTTTTTAGTGCTTGTATGGTATAAGTGATACTAAGGGTCTTCTGATGTACTTCTCTTTTTTTTCTCAGTTTTTATCTTAAAAAGTTTTGATTTGTTATCAACAAAATTCAAGAATGTTTATTTTATATAATTTGTTTTACATTATTTTTCAGTGTATTGGTACATTGGATTGGATTAGATCTGAAGGGCACACTGGTGTCATAAGGTACAAATAA